ATTGGAAACCAAACAGACTCACTGCTTTGAATTACCACATTGAATTGAATAGCATGCATATTCTCTTTTTAGTAACAAAGGCGTTCTTGCAAACCAGTACTATTTAAAAAACAATTTATCCTACAGACAAAACATCAATGTTACAGATGTCTACTGTTCATGCTGGGAGATGTGAAACTATGTGTTTAGCACAATAAAGTACATAGACATTTGTAATGCTTAGGTAATAAGCTCTTCATAGAAATGGTGACACAGTCTCTGTTCAAAGGCATAATGATAGAAACATCGGGCTGTGTAAGGCTTGTGGAAAGTATAAACACAATTTGACTCAGACCAATTATTAGAGGGCAACTGCTTTTCAGTGACAAATACCTTACATTTACTTTATGATTCCTGTTACAATGAGACTGTGACCCCAACGTCCTTAGCGCATACGCTGCAATAGCATCACACATCAACAAGGATGTGAAAGTCCTTGAATAGCACAGCTACAGCGAGGCTGGATTTGACTCAAAATCTGTTGAATAAATTGACGAAGGTTGCTGGTCAGGCTAAATGTTCACTCGCATTCAGCTTAAACAATTTTCACCACCATCTGCTTTCAATATTTACCAAGCTACTACAGATGTTTCCTTAACATTTGGAAACAATGTTTCAGGCATGGTTGAGGAACCAAAATAAATACATTGTCACAATTTATAGGTCAACTCGTTTTGGAGCAAACTGAAGCAACAAAAATCATAGTCCCACCCCTGTGTATTCTTAGGTTCCTTTTTTAAAAGAGGGAAATGGGAAATACATGTGCAACTGACTTCAATACATTTCTGTCCAGGTTTTTTTGTTATCTTCTAGAAATGTATAAACTGCAAACAACAGCATGAAAGATCATTTTGTCCTTAGTAAAACACAAGTGGTGTTAAAGAAAACATGTGCCTCTTCTCTTTTAAAGAATGACTGTAGATGCTTGTTCTATCAGACTACATGTCTGTGTATTTGTTGTCCTCAGGTTCATCTCAAAATATACGCCTCAACCTCCAGACTGTCCACCTTTAAATTATGGGCTGCTAAATGCTGGTGTAATTGAGTTTCATCTTTAATCTCGGGACCTTTAGCATCTAACCATTGAACGCCTGCAGGCCCCCCACTGCTTCTTTACACCATTAAAGACACATGTGAGAAATCCTCCAAGACTTTGAAGTGTGCAGTGGACAACAATATATTGGCCTTTTACTCTTTTTATCTCTGGCTTCTCTTTAAAATGGAAGAAAGACAAACATTCTGCATGTGTGTTTTTGTATAATTGCACACACAAGGTTAAAGGTAGGAGGCATATTGTATGTGTGTGTGTGTGTGTGTGTGTTTGTTTGTGTGTGTGTGTGTGTGTGTGTGTGTGTGTGTGTGTGTGTGTGTGTGTGTGTGTGTGTGTGTGTGTGTGTGTGTGTGTGTGTGTGTGTGTGTGTGTGTGTGTGTGTGTGTGTGTGTGTGTGTCAGAATACAGTAAAAAAACATATCATTAAGGTTTTAAAAGCAGGTTTGTAATCAACATGGTAGACGATGGCCTCGAAATAAATGTATAATCTCTCAAATCTCACAGTGTATTCACCCAATGACGATATCATGACAGTTTGATATTTTCAATGGTTATTTAAATGAAATGAAAAGTGTCCCACTGTTTCATCTGGGGAGCTCTGTTTTCTTCAGCCTGTTTCTGAAGATAAAGTTCATCCTGACCTTTCTGCCAATATTCATTCTCTTGATGTGTGTATCAATGCGCGGCTCCCTGTGTGCCTGTGTGTGATCGCCTCTGTGAATGTGTATGAGTATCTGCGTGTGAGTGTAAGCTAGGGGTTGTATCTTAACAGACCCATCCTTGAGGAATGCTTGAACCTGGGTTATACCATTAATTGCCGCAAGGCTATGGACAGATCTGTCACTTCGGAGCTCCAAATGTTTTTCATTTTGTGTATAGAAAGACTTTAATTGACTGTTATGTGGTTACCACGATACCGTATTTCTGCTCCCATATTAGTAATATGCATATTGTCCTTAATGTAGCAAGGAAATCCATATGAAAGAACATGCCAGTCAACTGAGACAGCACTCTGATGAACAACATGATGCTGTTTATCTTTTCATCTGCGGCCACTGCTCATCCATTAGGAGCATGAGAAAGCGGCTGTGATTATGAAACAGAAAGCCTTGAAGAGGAGACTTAAATAATTCCCAGTGTGCCTGAGTGAAAGACTGACCACAGTCTGCTCATTATTTCTATTTTTTGTAATTGCAATGTGCCTACACAAAGACTCACAGAGATAAGTAACTTGTGAGATAAACTAGTTCTCTACTAATATAAATGTTTAAATGTCACATGTGTCTTGGTGGGGTTTCACATGTTCAACTAAATCAAGAGTTAATCTCATCCTGGGATTGAATTAGTGCCAAGACGATTTCAACTCAGAGGATGGACTGAAGGAATACAAACAAGCCGAGGGAAAAACACACAAAGCCTTGAGCTTAAACTTTTGATAAGCCCCTAACACTGCAATCAAAACATCTGCTATCTTAAAACAAGTGACATTGTAATCCCAAAGGACAAAGTCTAAATCTCTATCCCTCTCTTGTAGGAATGATGGGGAAGGATAAAAAGAGAGATGGCTATTCAAAAGAGAAACATGATTAAACACCAAGCTGCCTTGCTCCAAACCTCACTAACTAAATCTCTATAACTTCATACTTCTGACAAATCCCCTTCAATACACATGCAAAAACTCTTAAAAAAACACATAGCGTGCCAACAAAAGTCTCCCTTCGCAGCCCCCATGGTTTTATTGTTGGGACGGTTTACAATGTCCACTGATGTGATCAGTTACATCATCAATACAAGGCCTTAACTTAACTCTCTCCTTGTTTTCTCCCTGAAGCCAAAACAGAAGGTCTTTGATGGCCACTGGGGTCTTCAATAAAGTTTAGTGCTCTCCATTCTACAGTAATAGCAGAGTAACTCAATCCCCCAACACTGCTTACCACTTTGCTAAAAGTCTCTGACATAAAGGCTGGAGGCTTGTTTACAGAACTAATTAAGTCAAAGCTGTTATATATTAAGATGGCCAGGGCATTTTTAAGAGGCAGCAGTAATGAAAACAGAGTGGCAAAAATGCTTCACTAACCCCTGACTCTATTTTATCTACTCTCTTTCCTACTTCACTTAGAGAGAAGTGACTATCATCACGCTGGATATTTGCAGGAACTAGGTTAGGGAGAAAGAACATCTTCTGATTTATAGGACATGCTGATAAACAATGTTGCAAAGCATCACAATTATTTGAAGTATTGAGATTGATGCATGTTTGTTCCCGGCTGGTATTCAGTCTTTGTGCAGCCTGCAGAGGCTGATGGGAGGTGGAACAGATGGGAACCATGGGAGTCTTTTGTTTAATTGTTGATGTGATTTATTTTTTTCAGGAAAGATCAGTGGCCCATTGGTCAAGGGAGAGTCTGGCTAACTAGGCTCTGCATGGAAGGACTTTACTTGTATCTCTGTTCAAGCGTTTGAAATGGATATTTAAAAGTGCGTTCCCTTACACTCTCAAGCACCCCACCCTCTCTCAAAACTATGTATCAAGTGGAATCTTCAGGTATAATTTGCCTTTAACTTCATGATGAAAGCAAGGGCCTTTAAAAGTGAGATGCATTAAGGGCTATGCCCTTATGCTCAATGAGCATGAGTGAAGGGCCCTCTATGGTATGAGTAATACTAGCTCCTCAGTAGTGTATACGGTACTTCAATTTTAGAGTGTTTTCTAGACAGAATGTCATGCTCTGTGCTTCTCCTTAGTGGAATTATTTCTAATAGACTGTCCACTGTTGAAGTGAGAGGTCCAGGCGTGTGGATTCAGAAGATCATGTTGACAGTATGGCCTTTCTCTTGCAAAGAGCTCTTGAAAGAGTCATTTTGATTTCCTGCCAGTAAATCCAGTTGTTGTACTCAAACTGATGTTTGAAATTAGAAGTTTGCTTTGCCTAAGTGTATCATAAAAATAATCTGTTTGTGATGCCCCATAGGAACTGTCATAAAGGAAAAACAAAAAAGAAATAGTATCTCCTGTGAGGAATGCTTAAAGATGCTGAATGAGCAATGTGTTGCTAGTAAAAGTTTGAAGATGTTGATAAACAAAAAAGGGAAAATGAAAGGACAAGTCAGGGAGTTGTCAGTGAGAAGAACAAGCAGGGGAGGAGGAGGTGAATGGAGAAGGATGAGCCTGACACTAAGCACACCCAGCAGGATAACGTTAGCTTCACGCAGGCAGCCAGGCTCACAGCCTTGACCGCTGCCAGGATAACCCTGTACCGTCTGACCATGGCCAGCTACAGGCTGCATGGGTGGTCTCTCATTACAACGCTATGCACTGTATCACATAGGGTGCACACAAAAACACACACACTAATGAGAATGATAATGTCTGTGAGATGCTTGAATCAATACACAAATGAAGGACCTTTAGGAAGTAAAAAAGCTGTACATCATAATGATAATGTACATTTCAGAAGCCCAGTGCTGTGAAAGCAGGCCACGTCGCCCTGCTGGGACTGACTTGCTTCAGAGGCATTTACCAGCCTCTTTCATGTCCCCCACCTCCAGGCTCTCCTCCAACAGGACTCATTAGCTGTTGTTTCCCCCCTCCTCCCTCACCTTTTTTTTTTGTTCATTAAGATGTGCTAATTATTCTCCTCCATATTTTAAAGCCCTCCCGATTACCAACAGGCAATTAACATTTGATGAGAGTGATGAATGTTAGTGTGACACAAGAATTACAGATAAAAAGACAAGACGTTTCAGAAAAGATGAGAAGGAGAGGCTTACAGTATTTTGCAATGATATTTACTTCAATGTCTAATCTTATTGATCTGTGATTTTAAATCCAGACATGTGGTGCATGGTGACAGTGGTGGTGCGAAGAAGTGCGAGGTGTTAGAAGGCCAACATAAACACTTTCACTGACCTGGATCTGTTGCTGGAGGAGGTTGATTTTGTGCTGCTGCTGCAGAAGCTGCTGCTGTTGTCTTGCAATCTATTTGGAAACAGAAGTAAAGAAAACAATTAAATGAATGAGAAAATCAAGAACAAAAAATCTCCTTTTTTGTATAACATTAAATACGATAGAAACTGTGATGCAACGGCAGGTACACCATGAGACAAACTGCTACATTTTAGTACGTGTATTCAGACTATTTTAAATGAATAGTTACACTGAAAATAATGGATACTAGAATGTAGCAGATTAATAATGGAGGATAATATAACGTTTATTTTTTATTCTGACAAAAAAACATTCCTAATGAACTGAGTTGAACTGCACAGTCGAAATTAGTGGTGAAAATAATAAATGATTTAGAGGAAAGACGAATGTGGTTATGATGTACGGGTGACGGGGGTCCCTGCCGCCCCTGAGTGACGAGCGGCCACACCGCAATCCTTCTAATCCCAGTAGTCCCCCTTTCTACATGCCCACTTCATTGAGCATGACAACCTAGTTTTAAGTGTCATTTAATTTTCATTTTTAAATATAATTACAAAGTGTTCACTGTAAGATATCGGTCGTCTGCAAATGTGTCAAGATTAATTTGTGCTGGCTTCCTCACAAGTGTCAACAGTTAATTACTGTGTTGTATCTTGATGGCTTGATGACATACTGGCTCTCAGCGGGCTCCCTCTCTCCCCCTATCACTCTATCTCTCTCTTCCATATTATTAATGTTTTTCCATTTTGAAATAAGATCAAATAATAACATATCTTATATCACTGTTCATTTATGCTGCAATGTCCACAAAGTCTACCAGTTGAGTGTAGTTTGCAAATGAACATCATCGATCGAAAAATAAATCAATACTGTTAATGTATTATTAGTGTACTATGACCAAATGCATCACTCCAAGGTATATGGTCTATCTTTTCATTTACCACGGGAAGGTCTGAGAGTGTGCTGAGAAAACTCTGAGTGAACTCCTTGCTGATAATTGACTCATAGCCATTAGGGTGGCTGGTGATAATAAAAGTGTCGCCCGTGTGGATAGTTTGTGTCCTTATTTCTTCCCAGACATTAACACACTTCATGGCCTCTGCTAATTTGCTGATTTGTACAATATGGCTCATTGGCCTGATTTGTGCTGCAAATCTAATGCCAGGCTTGTTCTAATAGGAGTCGATTTATAAGATATAGAGGACTTCCATGTTTAATATAACGTTACATTTGCACATTCCCTCGCATTTGTTAGTACAAGTCATAATAACATTTTTCCGAGCACGCAGCATAAATGTGGGCGAAAGAGCATGACAGAAATATCTGAAGTTATGTAGAATATAAAATGTGTTAAATCTAATATTCCAAATTCTAAAGGAGAAAGATTTTATTGGCATATTTCAGGCATGAAATGTAATAGAGTCAAGTGACAAGCTTTTTAAAATGATTTAACAGGGTTTATTATAGAGATGAAATGGGAAACAGAGTAAACAAGTGAAAGGAGGAAGGGTGTGGAATGAATATTTTAAATAGTAATGAAGAAAGGAAGGGAAGAAAATATGTGCGAAATATGAATATGGTGAAAAGGAAAAGGCTAATAGCTGGAGTGCAACGGGAGATACTCTGGAAAAGGTAAACAGTGAGCAGTTACCTGTTCCTGCTGCTGACGAGCTAACTCCATTTGCTGCCTCTGTTTCTCCATCTGTGAGGCGGCAAACTTCTTCTGTTCGTCGTGGGCAGCCAGGAGCTGCTCTCGCAGGCTAATCAGCTGGGCGATCATTGTAGAGAGCTGGTGTTCCTTTTCTGCCAGGCTCTCTGGAGTTCCTAGTGAGGGAATACAGAGAACGATGTCAGGGGTGAAAAGGAACAATTGGGAAAAAGGTGACAGCCTGAGTCATAAATATAGAGATAGGTTTGCGCTAGGTATACCTGAAAAAAAAAAGAAATACTAAAAAGGTTTCATAGTGGCCTAAACAACAAAAACAGGGTTGACGAATGTGTTTAAAAAAAAGCTTGCAATAAGCATTGGTCATTATAAACTACTGCATTTAGAAAAGTGACCATGCTGCACAAGCCGATCATCATATTGTGCTATAGTGCCAAACACAATATATCGTACAAAGAAAACCATAGAGGCAGCAACCAACTGGAGTGAATTCACTAGAAAGTGTTAAGGTCACACACAGCCTGGAGATATATCTACTTAGTGTAGCTAGTGTTCACCGCTTTCACACGAAGAAAGGGAAGGAATTGTTCCCGGCATATAGACAAAGAGCTGCAGGGAGCTGTCAAACTGAGATGACAGCTTATGTCAGACTTCCAGGCGTGAATATAAAGAAAAGTGTTAAGAGTCAGTGTAAAACAAATACAACATTTCTTTATTGTATGGCAATTCTTGAAAGCTATTACAGAAGGAACAAAATAAAACGGTTGTTCATATTTGGCAAAAAACGCACCAAAAAGGATGTTTAACCACCAAATGTGCTCTGAATGCACTATAACTACGTATAAGGAGAACTGAACAATGCATTCTTTATTTGTATTATCTTTGTAGCTACTGTATGCATAATTGAAAAATATAAAAGCAATGATAGACCAATAGGCTTACTTCTCTGTACAGCCACATGTCCACACTGTGTGATAGAGAGAGAGCGGCTCCGCTGCACTGCTCTCTCCCTGCGTCTAATCAATGCTAAGTGATCCTACCATTGACTTACACCGCCAACATAATTGCCAGTGAGAGGCTAGACAGTAACTCACTCTCCTCCCACTGCACTCCTGTGTGACAAGCTGATCTGGGAGAACATACCAAAAAGAAAAAAAGAGCCGGGAAAACCGACAGAAGACACAGAAAGAGGGAGAGACAGTAAGAGGGAGAAGGATAAAAGGATAGAGATCCAGATAACAGTACAGTGAAGATTGGCCTGGTGCCAGCAGGAGCTGAATTCTTTCCTGGGTGTCTTCCTCTCGTCTCTGGCCACATCTGTCTTGAGTTTCTCCGAGAGCTCCCTGGGGCCCTCTCCACTCAAACTATTTTAATTTGACTAAACACCTGATTTATTTTATCTCTCCGATGAGGAAAGCCGTTTGTCTTAATAGGGCTTGTCAACCTCCAGAACCCATTCAGGGCAATTTACTGGCAGGCTTGTCTGAACCTCGGTTCGCCCCGCTCTGCCTCCGCTGCCTGCTGCAATGGAAGAGAGCTGCAATTCTCCATTTATCCTCCTAAGGAAAAAAAAGCACCTTAAAGCAGCTATTCATTGGGCCAGTGTTCAGTTTCTAAGGCCTGAATTGACTTCTTATTCACCCGACTACACTGAATGGCTTATCTGTAAAATTGATACAATCAGCACCAATTTTATTAACCTTTGGCTGTGTCCATGAACGAGCTGCCTTTTACAGGTCACTAGCAAGATACATCGGTCGTTGTCACAATAAATCACGGCTATCAATACTGTGGGAGGGAAGAGCGAGGGACTAAAGAAAAAACATAAAGAAAGACAGGAAGGGAGAAAGTAAGAACAGAGAAAGAAAATTCCCATCCAGATGAAGATGATGGCCATCATGCCTTCAGGGCAGCATAGATGACCTTGAGTTGGAAACTAAACATCTGGACTCACTGACGCCCTCTCAGCCTTCGTACACATTTCTGAAGATCACTCACTAGTTTTAAAGTATCAACACTGTGGAAAAAAGATTGAAAAAACTGAATAAACAGCACATATATGTTGTGGTTGTGTGCATTTCTGTGCAGGCAGACTGGTGCTAAGTGTCCAGAGAAGGAATATAAACAGAATAGTGTGAAGAGCTTCGTCTTGCTCCAACACCAAAAGAATACTAACAGAGGGCTCTTTGTTTTGATGTTGAGCTAAACTATGAAAAGTCTACATTGTCCTCTGTATTGCAATTTGGGCTACAAGTGAAAATTGTAATAAAACGTTTTGGGCATCTAAATATGAAAAGCTGGTTGGAGAATTTTAACATCAAGACATCCAAACTTAGCAGAAAAACAGGCGCATATGTTTTTTGTAAGGGGGTTGGTGCAAAAATCTCTTTCTTCCTGCTTTAAATTATGGATCAGCTTTAAAATGCGGATAAAACTTTTATTGGGTGGTTCAGAAAAGGAGAGTTGTGGTCTGTGTCTGACCAGCCTGCTGACAAAAGAGGCAGTTTCCTGCATATTGCATGGCTTTTAACAGCAGTGGGGCTGGGGTCTGCCCGTTAACATGTCTCCTCACATTGCACTTCCGACGGCAGACAGACAGCCCAAAGATGCCTTGGCGCTACATAAACCCAAGCAGTCGGCCCAGACCTAACATGTTGTGACATCCTCCTGTTAGATGACTGAAGCCCAGTAGGACAATACCAGCCTGACACAGGAAGAGGATCCCAGGAGTGAGCGGTCAAGCTGTGCTGGTGCTTTTCTTGTTTTTTTTCTCAGGCCACCGTGTCAACTTCAGCTATGTTAGATTGACACATAGGAAGAGGAGGAGACCGTAAAGCAGTTTTGTTCACTCTCAACGCATTCAGCCTTCACCTTTTGAGATTCCTTCCTCTTTTAAATGCCACAAAGTAGGGCAGAAAACATCAACGACGGGTGACTAAATAAATGATAAGAGGAAAACAAGCAGAGCCATGGTTGCTTGGGGAGGGCTGGGGGTATTTGAGCCTTGGGGTCTTTGGATAAAAGGCACTTTGTAGGGGTGCGATTTGTTCTGTCCAATACCCACATCTCCCTCTCTCTTGGCTCCCTCCTCTCTGCTCTAATCAAGCAGTCTCTAATTTGGGTTCCAAGACCAGTACCGGGGAAAAAGAAGGAGGCTTGTTACTTTGAAGAGTCCCGAGTGAATAACACAGATAAAAGATTCAGGCACAAAAAGAGAAGAAAAGCGAGGGAGGGTGAGGGTGAAAAGGGGGGAAATCACAAGGCACCCTATTCTCTTCCCTTCCTTTGGTTAAGACAGCTGAGCCATTATGAGCAGATCTGAATTGAGTTTTTAGCGCCAGAAGACTGGAAATTCTTTGTCTCTCTATCAGTCAGCTTTTGTGGATGCTTCCATATGCTGCAAGCCCATCCTAAGTAAATTAAGACTTGTTTAAATGCTCCAAATGTACCAAGTTGGATCCACAGACCGCACATGACTTGAATGCCTTGTGAGCTAAGGCTCTCTCTCTGCTCTCCTAAAGTGTGTGGGAATCTAGACACGACAGATGTGTGTTGCGTGCTCCTCCAATCGATAAAAGGCTCATGCCTCTCAGTAAATGCATACGTATGTGAACTACGCGGTAGTGTGACCCTGTTTTTCTGTAAAACACAAAGAGCCAATTGAGTTGCATCTATTGGTATTTATTTTCTGTTCAAAATAGAAAGATTTTTCTGTTCACATACCTTTCTTCAAAACCATAAACCAATTCAACAACCGCATGAAAGCAAGCACACCCCTGTACCAAATTCACTTTTGTGATATTGAATATGATAAGGTTTTGTGCGTTGGTCAGAGTAAAATGTCATATTGAACATTTAGTATGGCAGAAAACCAAGCTAAAATAACAAGAGCTGGGTTTATGGTATCCTTACGCTTTTAACAGCTATATACACTTGTTCAACCATATGTGTTTCCAGTTATATGGTGTTAACGCGTCTCCATGCCCTACAACCGAGACAATATGAGCAACAGCTGTTTTACCTGGCTCGCTGCCTCTGCCATGATATAAAAGCTGTTAATCTTGCCAATAAAACCCCATTAACAAGCATGAGCATTGACTCACAAGCACGTGTCATCCACTGGCAGCAATGATCCTCAGTCCATATGCTTTCATATAATGTATGAACCTTTATTCTGAGACACTGCCCATTTTCTTGTTAAAGAAAAAGTCAGATCTTGTCAAAGGTTTAAAATCATAACAATGGATGTGCTTGAGACTTGTGAAAGCTTTTAACTTGCTAATGGCAGACTGCGACTATACTTTTCCAACAGCATTTCTATATGTCTATCTGTATGTGTGTGCACATGGATTTGAGTATTGACAGATAGGACTTTAAGACTTTTATAGAATTAAGTAAATTGGTCAGTCGAGGTCTAGTTTTTTTAAATGAAAATCTGATTGGCATACGGAGAGGTTATTAAGAAAAGCACACTTCATCTACTGTGGTGTTACCGTTCATGCCGAACATTGAAGGAGACTAATAGTTTGATGATAGCAGAAGCCTCACTCTTCAGTATAATTATGCTAATGTTTAAGCTCCAGCACTTCACTGTCTACCCATGACACTGGACAAGGTACTTCATCAAAGCCAAGATCGAGGCTCGACCTGAACATATTGCTCCACAGGGAATGCCACTGACCCTGAAATTTACTCTGGGGACAAAAAATAATTCTACACAAAAACTTTACTTCTGGTCTTTCATTTATTGAATAAATGATTCTTTCAATCTATAATACAGTGCCACAAACCATGGATCCTGCCGCCATGCACGTTGTTGTACTTATGCAAGGCAGTTAATAAGATGACAGAAAAACAAAGTCCAATCCTTATATTCATCTTTTCTGATTTGATGGCAATGAGTCTCACCCGTGTGCCCTTAAAATAAAAAAAAATTCAAGGCCCCTCTCATACAAAGCGCTTTAAGTCTGGAAGAGAGTGATCAAGGCAACAGCTACAGTAACTGTCTGCAAAACCTTGGAGGTGAATGAGTTAGATGATAACTCTGTATTTTCACAAAACATGTATTCATCGGTCTTACCTATACAGCGGATAAGAATTAAATATAAGAAAAAACGTCAAATGACTGCTAAACAAAAAACTCAAAGACATGTATTTTGCATGAAAGTACAACAAGCAATACAAATAAAGACCTTTCAATTAAATATCCAGATTAAATATCCAGACAAATACTCTACACTGTAAAATGTATGTTAAAATAGCTACATCTTTGGTATTAATATTATATTTACAATATTTATATTTCTGATTACATTTCATGTTAGAATATGTAAAGTAACTTTAGAATTATTCATACAAAACACTGTTGTAAATTTGCCATAAATGACGTAAAAAAAATTCTTAGTCGAGAATGAAAGCCCTGAAAGTTGTACACAGTTTCTTACAGAATTGTAATGTAAAAGTGTCCATGCATATTTAGTATGAATGAGATTTACCTTAAAATTAATATTCTACATTTCACCGTGTGGAAATTAATTGTGGAATTAGAGTGTGAGGTTTTACGTGGAATCATCAGTCAGAATTTATTTGGACTGTAATGTGTGATTTCTCTTTAAAAGAAAATAGGATTATAGTGTGAGGGGGAAAAAGGAGGCTGAGCTTGCAATTCAAGAGGTCTCATAAGAAATGTGAAAGTAACTGATTGATATCTGAAAAACTCCCTTTGCTAACTTGCATGCACTTTTATTCAGATGTTGTTTGCATCTGTTTCGAGTGAATTATATCTTCATATCTAAATGTCGTCTTCATTAACATACTTAGTATTAACATTTGCTTTACTGTGGAACAGCTGATCAATCTTTTAGGGGAGTTTGTCTTAAATAAATGACAGGTGTGTTTTTGTCAGCTCCGTAAATGTTTTACATTATTTTCAAATGAAAACAGTAGTAGTACGCTTGTTTCCATGAAATGTATTATACAATTTTAAAAGTCATTAGTTAAACAAACCATGACAAACCACTGAAATATAATTCAAAACACAAATAGAGAACCCTATCACGCAAACCCACATACACTAGCACAGCAGTTCCCTTTTTACCTCCATTGCCACAAGCTAAATTCCTCAATTCATTAGAGGAGAAAAACACACAGTCCAACACTCTCATACATTCATCTGGCAAATGTGGCCTGAGGAATAATGATTTACTGTGGCTCATATTTCACCTGAGTGCACAGGGCAAACAGTTGACTGAAGTGTTGTGGAGAAAATGCTAACTGAGGCATTTTTGACTGGAGCAACTGGACAGATACTGTTTTGTGCTGTTTGTGTGAATGTTTTTGTATGTTGAATAAACATTATATACATAATATTTATATACAGTGTGTTGTAAAAACACACCATTATTTTACTACTAAGCTCTTCATTTCAGTGTCAGCAAAAATGTGTGCACCAACATTGTGCTGTGCATCTCCAGTGGCATCAAAACCTCACTATATGGAAGCCATTACAGTAGGAATAAAGTTTCATTTTAAAGTGAATAATCATGTTTTGAAGCCAACCCTCATGGCTGAACAATATGGGCTCTGTGTTCACACAGTGGACTCCTTTCTGTGAGTGCAGGAGTAAAGCCAGCACAGGTAGGGCCAGCATCAAATCAGTCTCAGCTGCCGCCCTGCCCTGCCCTGTGTTCTCCTCCTAAACAGCTTCCACTTATCTGCCTGCCACAGGACTGTCTGCGTGCACTCGACCACTGTCATGTGGACACCATTCTCAAATTGATTGTGACAGTGCAAGAGCCTCGATTTTTCTGCTTCAGAATTCAAGCTGCCATATCAACACTAGTGTACAATGTTAAGCATTTTTCTTATTTTAATATTTTTTGCAAATTCCTAGAGAATGAATACAGCTTGTGTTCCAATTTAGTAACCACGTTTTTTTCTTCATGTTTAGTTAATGCTTGAGCATTTGGCTTCTTTTTATTTTCTCCCAATGGGGGTCCGGGAAACTGGCACTCAGCAGGGAAACTTAAACAGCTCTGTTGAGTATGAGGCTCAAATACCCTGCACATAGCAAGCATGCAACAGAGAGCAACCTTATCTGCCTTAGGACGCTGTGTACTATATTTGTATGCATTTGACACATGCATGCATGTATATATATATATATATATATATATATATATATATATATGTACATATATACACAGGGATATAATGATTGTACGTCTCCTAAATCATGTGTAAAATGGGGGCTTTGCATCTCTTTGAGGTTTATAATTGTAAATGTCTAAGTACCCGTCTAAAATCTTTTTTTCTCTACTCCTTCCACCTTGCCTGCCATTATCTGCTACTTTCTGTGGTTTGGAGCCCTTCCAGCCGGCCTCCCTTTCTTGCTCTGTGGTTTTGTTCAGGAGATTTCATCTCCCTCCTTCATCGTTCCAGCAGATTGACAGCTAAGCTCAGGTATGAAAACAAACAGTTAGCTCTGGAATTGACTGGTGAAAAGAAATCCGCCACTAATGCTCCTTCGCAAGCTCTCCTTTTTGCATTCCCTGCTGATGCTAAGCCCTAACAGCATACAAGAAAAGGCAGATGGAGATTTGAGATCATTAACCCTTAATAACACCATCTACATGTCTGGTTTAAGCACACAGCCTCTACTGGATTACTACGATTGTTTCTACTGACTGTAGAAGCTAAAGTATGTCTTTACCTCGGAAGCAGCACATTATGTAGACAAACACCCACATGACAATAAGCTATAATTATAGATGTGTCATCTGTAAGAGGTAAATGGTTGGTTGGGTGTTACAGACTTTGAAAGCAAATCTCTGATGTTGATACTATTGTTTTGTTTTGTTTATTGTACGTGTGTGTTCATCTCAACGGGATAAAGTATTCAGGGCATGTTTGAACACAACTGCAGTTAAAGAATGTCTTTCTTTTCATGGGTAAAAGCCCCAGGACAAATTCTGTCACACCTATTGTTTTTCATTTATGTATGTTTCCTAAGAGCAAGACTACTGTAAATGAGTTCCTCGCCAGACAAATTCCACCACTTGCCTCTGCGATTACACAATTACTTAAAGGTTTTAGTGGCACAATGTCAAAAGGTAGCCTATAAGGTGAACAGTATAATTAGTGAAGGAATTGGTGAGCGATAAGCACAGAATACACAAGGCAGTTGTGCCACTACTGTAGTCTTTATCTGCATGTCAGCCTTTATTCGTACTTTCTTTCATTTATTTGAAACCTACAGGCATGTTTGTCTTTTGTACTGATTTTAACCTAACAATTAATTGAACCTCTGATTCATCATAACACTTTAGATCTTAATCATAAGGTGGTTTTAAGCAAGGTACCTTTGTTTGTGTTTTAATTAGGCGGACCTTGTGCGTCTCCAACCCTGGGCTCCTTTTTAATTGCCCGTATTTACATCAGGCAGACATCAAACGCAGAGAGAGAGAGACATTTGTAAGGGGGAGCACAAAGCAGCCCTTTGAAATGTCTACAGTCATATGAAATGGCATGCTAATTAAAATCTAAGGCTGTCACTGTGATAGGAGAAGCATTTATATTTGTAACTGTGGTGTATAGACTGTCTCCATAACTCATCAACAGACAGAGGCCATAGTGTTTATTATCAGACTCCCTACCTGTTTACAGACCACCAAGTAACCTTCCCGTTCCCATTCATCAAACAGCAGAAATGCCCTGCCTGTAATTTAACAGACCGGCTTTCAAAAGGCTAAATCATTTAAAACATTTTACTCATTGCACTTTGATCTACAGTGGCATACAACATACTAGGGCAGGTACAATGAATCTAGTTTACCAAGCAATGATTTATCCTTCAGTTCATTAAGGTTATTGCCAATAAATAAACGTATTAGAACATTCAACAGCCTTTTTCCCCTCTCCTCTGTAATTCCATAATTAAAACCAAACACAGTTTTATTTATGTATGTCACCCGTGTTTTTAAAAATAAACAATTTAGCAAAATGAACAGAGTTACCTGTGCAGTGAAATGTGCTTTCTTAATTGATTTGTGAAGAGTCTTCATGAAATGTTGATAATAAAAGATATGAGTATGTTATCAACAGTTCAAATATTTATATTGAAAGCAGTGAGTGAGGGAGAGTGAGCGAGCCAGTGACAGCCTGCTGTTATCAGCCAGCTGTTATTGTGCTTCGCCGTGCTGTATAAGCACACACGCTCTCAGTAACAGTCAGTGCTAAGAACTGAGCAGCGGCCCTGCCCATCCTCGGCCCACCTTCATAAACAGAGATTTTGGGGGAGTGCTGAGTTGCGCTTTGCCGTGCCGCAATTGATACGCTGCGCAGGGCGTTCACTGTCGGAGTCAAGACATTCCACTCAAACGCAGACTCACCGAGGAGACGACTCTGTGCGTCACCGTCTCCTCTCCTCTCTTAACGGCTTCTCTCCTCTCAGCCCAGCCGTGCTCTGTTTACATCAAGCACACTTTGGGTTCAACAATTACCAGAGCGGCATGAACGCACTGCATGTGCCAGAGTAGAGACGCTACACACAGAGCCTCAGAATGAGTCCAAATGGGCTGCAATTTTGAAGACGGTACTTTGGACAGAGTTGGGCATTCCCAAAAAAAAGAAAAAGGAGGAGAGAAATGAATGAGGAGGGCAGCCAAAGGCCTTTGTTTTAATTCAGAGTACAAGGCTGTGTCTGAGATTATACAGTACATAGATTATGTATGTATGTTTGATAGGAATGCGTGATTTGCTAACACAGTTTAAACTTGTGTTTGGGTGTTGCAGTCCTTGTACTCCTACCTTTTACTTCTGCCAGCAGTTCACTGGTGTTGAGACTCTCCATCTTCTCTTTCCACTCTTTAGAAAGAAGTGCCTCCATGCATGAGGGATCTTTAATACAAAAGAAGAAGAAAATGGTACTTATTTGAATAAAAAGAAAAAGTGAAGTACCTGTTTGGATTTAATTGTTTTTTATGATAAAGGAATAATGTATATTCAGTTTTTTTAGTTTGTTATAAATCTCTAAATCTATTCACCTAAATGGAAATGAGAAGGAGTCAGTGTATCACACGAAAGCGTATTTTACTTGATGGTATTGCGAACATTAAAAGAGACTCGACAGAGATGAGCTAAGGGAGGAGGGAGGAGGGGAGCAGGCATTGTGGGGATAGCATAAGGGTAGAGACGCACATTAAGCGGGAGGCAAGGAGTGAGACTGGCTACGTCCGCGCATTCGTTTAGCTGCCAATGATGAAAACAATTAACATTTGTCCAGCAGACAATGAATCAGAGGAGGAATGGCTGCAATCTGCCATGCTGTCGCTGGGGCAGCTGATAAAGAACACACTGGGCCGGCTGACCCAGGCCTTCACCGTCCTTGCACTGCTTAGGGGTCAGCCTGTTCTCATCAAACACCAGCAGCACCAGCTAGCCTCCAACCCTTCCACCCCTCCACCTTGAGACACTGTCTCTTCAAACTGCCTCCGATCTGAACCATACAGTATCATCATAAGACATGCAGCGTAAAGTCCTTTAGAATCTTATAGTAAAAATGTATTATTGGATAGCAAATCATATGCTGTCTAAAAATATGTGCTGATTTCTTTAAAAAATGTCTCCAGGTTTCAAATAGTCCCTCAGGATATAGGAAATGTTCTGAATTTGGAGCAAAATACAAAACCAAAGCAGACACACTAATTATTACCACAAAGTCCCGGGGCACCATAATGAATAGTCTGACCACATATCTAACAGTGGCTCCTTTATGAACACACTTCTGGTTAAAAAAAAGACACAATTCAGAAGCATGTTAATGTTAAATGTAGTTGTCATGTGTTTTTGGTTCCAAGTTGCACATAATTGTAAAAATCTGAGAAACAGAGAGGCAGACTGAGGGGGGCCCATCACATGCTGTATTCTGAACTCTTCCCATTTCACCATTATCGTCCTTGACATCAAACACAGAGGAGAGTTGTACAGTTAAGAATGTATACAACTGTTGTTTCCTTTTATCTCTTGCACAAAACCAAACACTGTTGTTCCCTTTGACAAACACAGTGACTTCAGAGGATCTGGGAGTAACGGGGAGTAACGGGGGGTCAGCAGTTCTTGTTGCCTTGTTTAAGGATGGCTTTCAGAGAGATCAAGCAGAGTGACCATTTTGTTTGATTGTCCACTTCCTCCAATGTGATGGGGGTCGACAGGACATCTTCAACTGAGGGTCATTATAACATTACTTCTGCTTTATTGACTTTCCAATTCCCAACTCACAGTTTGTCCCCTTGACCCTAAGCGAGGGAGAAAGAAAAGGCAGTGTGTGTTGTGTATGTTTGTGTTAACTCCCTCCATGGCACAAAGATCACATAACTTAAAACAGGGGTTAGGGGCAGTGGGAGGGGGTAGCAGAGCTCAACGCTTCTTCCCTGCGCCTCACCCCTGGGTGAGACAGCTTCCTCTCCCAGAACAACACACTCCCTTCGAATCATAATCCTTTTAAAGACAGAAAAATATCAGGGCATGACATGTTCTCCCCTAAAGCACAGAAAAGGCTTATTTTATAAGTGGTGTAAAGGGGAATTAAATAAACACATGGAGCATATGTTAATATGAACACATATGCTCCCTCTCATACACAAACACCCACACATACGTAAACACACACACACACACTTTCATCGCAGATGCTGCTCCAGCACTTGATCATTAAGGAATGCACCAACTGTTGGAGATAATGTGGTGCCAGCTTCCATTCTACTCCAGTCCTCCCCCTTCTTTCCACCTCCCTCCCAGGAGAGCTGCCGCTCCCTCACTTCTCCATCCCCTCCGCCGGGCCAGACGCAACCTGCCAAGTCCTCCAACAGGAGAGAATACAGCTGGAATGCACCGCTGTCCTCCCTGCCTTCCACCTGGGAGAGGTGAATAATGACCTGGATTAGTCTATAAAATAACTCTCAAACCTCTTTCAGTGTTCGAACAGCGTGGACAAAACAGGCAACCAAAAATGGATTTGGTGAAAGCAGAGCAACTTTAGCGCAGGCGTGCTGGAGGACAATAGTAAATGAGTCAGATGTCTGGCTTTTTTCAAAACACCCTTCCACAACCTATTTTTTCAAAAGAATTTAGATTAATCGGAGGAATGCTATTTCAGTTTATAAAATGCCTGCCTGTTCTTTCTAGATAAATTATAAATGCCAATAGAAAACACTGGTTAGTATCAACATAGTAATTACTGTCAGGTTTTGACACAGAGAATGTTATAAAATGGTACATACTGTATTCACCATAAAATAACAAATTACTTCAAATTGTTATCTTAAAGGTTTAGATAAGTCCTATTTCACTGGATATGAAATGCTAATGGGTTTGAAAGGCAAACATAGTTATTAAAGACAGAGCAGAACTTCTGAAGTTTTTAGTGTTGGAAGAGGAAGAGTTTGCTGCTCTTGTCCTTTCAAAGTAGGACATTACAATCTGGGGAATTAGCTTAAACAAGAGAAGAGTCCAGTGAGTTTATTTTTATTTTCCTATGGGGGCTCTTAAATCTCTCGCACCCCCACCCCTTCCATTTCTTTCCCTCCCCCTCTCGAGATAAAATGCTCTGTGGCTGGGGAGCAGGCCATTCAGCTGGGATGAGAATGGAATGAAAACAATAGCCCTTATCAGGCTCTTATTTACATTTTCCCAGCGTCCCTGCAGTAGACAGCTTGGCTTGTCACCAAGCCCAGATCGCCCCACTGGACCCGGACCAACTTCCTCCAGCCCCAGCGATTCCAATGGTCCCTATGGACCCTCGCCTGGCAGAGACCCCCTCCACTCTGCAGCTCGCACAGATAGCAACATACAAGACAAAACTATTGGAGTGTGTGTCCAAGACGTGTTCCCATTGAGAGGGGAATGGTTTCTGGACTACTAAGCCCATCTGGGTCTCATTGTCTCTTCTCTAGGGCTGGGGCCGTATAGCTGGAAAAATACCCTGAACCCTTTCCTAGAGAATTTTTGAAGCTTTTCCAAGTGGCACAGAAGAAAGTGAATAGTGAACGCTGGTTTATTACTGCCAAATTCAATATGTTTATCTTCTATCAGTGCTGTCATCTGTGGTATAGAGCTTTCCTGTGCAGGTATTCTGTGATCTTATTGATGTGGGTGAACAGGCGCAGGGATTGAGACACCTTAAGCCCAGATGAGTTGGCTAGATAAGGCTACAGCATTTTTTTTGTTTTACTGTATAAAAAAGCTAATGATCCTCATAAATCTCAACAAAGGAATGTTTCTTGGTTGATGTGTGACATAAACAAAGCTTTCAGCACCTGGCAGTCAGTGCTGCCAGAATATTGTGTTCAGTATAAACCACAGAAGTGAAGCTAAGAGGCAGGTTAACATTAACTGTCTGTCCTGACAGTGTTGAAGGTAAATTGATTACCCTCTCATATTTCTTACATGCCCCTGCTGTTGTTACCCTTTGGTGTTTTAATGCACTAGCTAATAATGAGAATTTGTTTTTTTATTGTTCACACACATTTTATTAAATTGAGTGGTAGTTAGCTATAAATGCCTGTGGCTTGAGATGAAAAATAGGGGAAAGTCGTTTGCTTTTTTATGTTTTATAGCTGCCCTAAACAGAGTAATTCATTCAAACTATGAACGCAAACTGTAGAAAAGCTCAAATCACTGAGTGGAAAACCAAATAGATAAATAAATGAAGCCACAAACATATCAAATCTTGTCACTAGGGAATTGGATGGGACAGTAATAAAGCAGACCTTGAAAATAATGACAAACACATTTTTAAATGGCTCTTCAGATTGCCATAGAGATATGAAGAGTGTTTATTGAAGTTTGCAAATATACCAGCACTGTTTGGCAAAAATGGCCATCTTTAGTTTGACACAGCAATGTTTTTAATCTCCTAAACAGTTTATTTTACTAAATTTCTTGAAACACGTCATCATGTTTCAAAAGGCTGTGCCTGCCTCAAAGCACACAAATGGTTTGTTACAACGTGCAGCAGTTGGTGTTTTATTACTCTGTGTTGTCAGCAATGAAATCGTTTCAACTGTCTGCCACCACATTCTGAGCCTCTCTGCGCTCTGCGTGCACTATCCTCCCGGGACGAAAGATGATACTTATGTTTGAGTGTTTGTTGTGTTGGAAAGCCGTTCGCAGAAAAAGGAGGGCTATCTAGAAGAGTCAAATTAGCCATAAGTCATGGATAACAGAGTAAGAGACCTCCCCTTTAGCATTGGCCTTGTTTATCAGTTGTCCCAGCCTCAAGGGAAACGTGTAATTACCAAATCAATGATCAACTGACACTGACCATATAAATAATTTCCTGCCCAGAATGAAGAGGCCCACAGCGTGAGGCAAATAGGGATACAGTGCTATGTGCAGTTATGGAGGAGCCGAGGGGGATTTAAACTCTCTAAAAATGATTCAGCTTGAATGGAGCACATTTTCTGAAATGTATCATAATCTAGTTATAGCCAACCAAAACCCTTTCTCCTCAGAACCTTAAACTTAGCGTAGGAAAATATATATGAATGTCAATAACAAAACTGAGGAATTAACCATTTTAGAAAAATAAAGAGAGACCCTTACCAATGAGATAAAATAAAAATGTGCAACAATATAAACATTATCAGTGTTACTCCTAGATAAGATGAGCAAAATATAAGAAGAAAACAATCTATTTACGTAAAAAAAGATTACAACGACACTACCGTATAAAAGAGAACGGTATAAAACCCGATCTACCAGTGCTTATCAATACTTTAAACACGCTTTTATATGTACCAACATTACACATGCAAATTGTTGTAAATATCTCAATCTATAGAAAGTGTGGACGTGTTTTATTCTCTTAATTCCTCAAGATAAAGGTCTAATGGAGAAAT